GAGGAGAGGAGAGGAGAGGAGAGGAGAGGAGAGGAGAGGAGGCAAAAGGCAATTCCCAGCAGTGAGGGCTCTGCTTTTTGGGCAGGTGCTGATCGACATCGACGGCAAGCACGAGTGGAGGGATTGCATCGACGTGCCGGGCGTGCGCCTGCCCCGCGGGTACTACTTTGGGACCTCCTCTGTCACCGGGGACCTGTCAGGTACGGCCCCAGGTGGGCTTCCCAAATGGATCTGGGGGATGGGGTTTGGGCCTTGAGGGTTTTCCCTGCTGGAAGGATCCAGAAGGAGGTTTGGGTTGAGCCCTGAGGAGCGGCAGGGTTTGGGCACCGAGGGTTTGTCCCAGTTTTCCTGGAGTTCCCTGTGGGAGGAGTAAAAGCTTGGGATGAGCCAGGAATAAAACCAGGGTGAGCATGGAATAAACTAAGATGAGCATGAAATAAATTGGGATGAGCATGGGATAAAACCAGAATGAACATGGAACAAAACCTTGGGATGAGCATGGAATAAAACATTGGGATGAGCATGGGATAAACCGAGGTGAGCCTGTGATAAAACCAGAATGAGCATTAAATAAATTGGGATGAGCATGGAATAAAAGCTTGGGATAAGCATGAAGTAAAACCAGGATGAGCATGGAATAAACTGGGATGAACATGGGATAAAAACAGAGGATGAGCATGGGATAAAAGCTTGGGATGAGCATGCAGTAAAACTGGGATGAGCCAGGAATAAACCAGGAGGATCATGGAATAAACTGGGATGAGCCTGGAATGAAAGCTGGCCCAGCCCCTGGGACACCCCAGAAGCAGGAGCTGCTGCTTTTGTCCCCACTGTCCCAAGAGCCACCTTCTCCCTGCGGGTTCCCTTTGGATTCCCCAGCTCCAGAGAATTCCCTGGCTCTTATTTTGGGAAGGAGCAGCATTCCCATTCCAGGGAATGATTTTACAGACCACAAACCCTTTTTTCCTCCCCCTGTCTTCCAGAGGTTTTCAGCCTCATTCCAGTTCTGCTCCCACAAAAAACTCATTCCTGGCCTCCAACAAAAACTCCTTTTCCCTCCCAGATCCCAGACCCAGCACATTCCTTTGGCTTCCCAAGCACTTCTAACTCCAATAACCTCCCAGTTTTTTGAGGCTGGATTTTTGAGGGGTTTTTCAGCAGCTTAAAAAAACCCACAAAATTCCTGCTGGCCATGGAGCACCTCCTGCCATCCCAGAGAATTCCAGGAGAGGTTTTTGCTGCCTTTTCCAGACAACCACGACATCATCTCACTGAAGCTGTACCAGCTGACGGTGGAGCGGACGCCGGAGGAGGAGAAGCGGGACAGGGAAGTGTTCCTGCCCGTTGTGGACAACCTGAAGCTGCCAGGAAGTGAGTGGGAATTTGGGAAGGGTGGGAGCAGCAGGGATTTGGGGTGGGGTGTGGAGCCGTGGAGGGAGAACGAGCCCCACGTTTGGGGTCAGGCAGAGATGGACACGGTGAGGGTGTGAGCACCAGGCTGGGGGTGGGTGGGGTTGGGATGTGGGAGGGAGATGGGTTGTGTGCCATCCCAAAATCCCACGCTCCCATCCCAAAAACCCAAACTCCTAAAATCCCATCCCAAAATCCCCTGGGACCTGGGAATCCTCTTGAGATCCCAGGGTGGGGAATCCTGCAAGATCCAGGGGTAGGGAATCCCTGGGATCCCAGAGCTGAAAATCCTCCAAGATCCTGGGGCAGAGAATCCTCCAGAATCCTGAGGCAGAGAATCCCCTGGGATCCCAGAGCAGGGAATCCCCCAGGATGCAGGGGTAGGGAATTTTCCAGGATCCCCGAGCAGGGAATCCCCCGGGATCCCAGGGGGCTCAGGGCTGTTTCCCCTCGCAGTGGAGGCACCCCTGGAGCCCATGAGTGGCCTCGCCCTCTTCCTGATCGTCTTCTTCTCGCTGGTGGCCATCGTCTTCGCCATCGTCATCGGCATCATCGTCTACAACAAGTGGCAGGAGCAGAGCCGCAAGCATTTCTATTGACTCGGAGATTCCTGGCCTGGCCCATCCCGGCCTTCTGCTGGCCACATCCCAACTCCCAGGGCGTGAGGGACCAGCCCTCGTGGCAGGGACCCCCCGAATCCCTGCAGGACTCCGGATCCAGGTGGGGATCCCTCGCCTTCCCCACTGGATTCCTGCTGGAGAGAGAATTCCCAGCGCCTCCTCCCGTGTGGCCACCAGAGCCCCCCACGGACGAGCCCCTGCGGGCTGGGAGGAGCTGGGTGCTGCTGCTTCTCCCAGATGGATGAGTTTTCCTGGCTGGATGAGCCGAGTGCTGCTCCCTCCTCACTTTGGGGGTTCCCAATCCCCATTTCCCAGCATGTGGCTGCCCCTGCATGTGGCGTCCTGGCTCCAGGGCCACTGCCGAGCCAGGGAGCCGGGGGCTTTCCTACCTCAGGGACTGCTGGCCACTCCTTCACCCCTGGAGGGGTCACCGGGTCCCCAGAGGGGTCAGCAGAGGGGGAGGGTTGGATCAGGGGTGCCTTGGGGACTCAGGGTTTGAGATGGCAGCACCTTCCTCACCAAGATCCAGGAGAGCCAAGTCTGGCCCTGTGGCTTTGCAGGATATTCCCACCCAAAACAAACCCCCAGAAAAATAGCTCAGTGGCCCCTGGGCCAGGGAAGGACTGGGGGGGATTTTCCATGCTGGAACTGGTGTGGTGGGAGCTGTGTCCAAGTGCCCAAGGGGGGTTGTGGCACTCGAAGAGAGTTTTCCTGGTGTTTTGCCTCTTTTGTTTTTTGGTTTTTTTTTTGGAGATGGCCTCTCCCTGGAGCTGTACTCGGTGTTTGGAATAAATGCTGAGGGCTGTGGCTGCCGTGGTCCTTGTCACTGGGAGCTTCTGGATGGGCCATTCCCTGCCCAGATGGATTCCCTGGAGCTGGGGGCTGTGTCCTGGTGGTGTGGAGTTCTTTAGGATCGGGATCCTGGAATGTTGGAAGGGACCTCAGAGCCCATCCAGTGGCACCCCTGCCATGGCAGGGACACCTCCCACTGTGCCAGGCTGCTCCCAGCCCCATCCAGCCGTGTCCAAAGGGGCGGCCAGGCAGGAATCCGCTCACCTGGCCAGGGCTGTGAGCCCCTCTGGACCCAGGGATTCCACAAATTCCACAGAATTCCGTGGAATGGAATTGATTCCATGGAATCTCATGGAACTGAGGCTCTATTGTGACACAGCAGGGCCTGGTGGAACCCAGGGCAGCGTTGTGACACCACGGAACCGCATGGAACCTCACGGAACCGCA